GGGGGGGGGGGGGGGGGGGGGGGGGGGGGGGGGGGATTTCAGCCGTTTCCATAGGCTTATGAAGAGGCGGACCGCATTAGGTCACAATAAGTTTTGATTCAAAGCAAACCAACTTTACTGTTATTTTAGGTCATAGCCAAGGTAAAAGCGTTAGTCCTATAAAAAGAAATTAGTTGTTGATGACAAAAAAATAATAATACAGATCGCGAGTCGACGTCTGGATTATCTCTAAGGCCAAATAATAGGGCAGCATTTTGTAGCAACTTAGCGCACCGCAATGCTGCATTGTAATTTTAAAAGTGATTTTAAGTATACAACCAGTTGCAGCAACACGTTACATGAAGTACATATAGTTCAACACTTTTAAATTGCGATGTAACAAGCTGGTGCGACATAGTTCCGACACGAGTAGCAGAAATGCTTCCCCGTATATCTCGGCCTTTCCTACTTTGAATAACCAAGCCCTAAGCAAAGGGAGGCATTATGAGAGTAAAGTGACTTCTTTGCTAAAGAACGCAACGCGAAGAGGGTCACTGAGGCAATCCCGTCGGACAAAATCGGACGCAACTTCACAAACGTACAAAGTTGCTGTGAGATCGCAGTATCTGAAGTCTCTTTCAGAGCCGATATTTGACGGGAGAGATTTGTCTCATATGCTGATTCATTGTCTTTCGCATAAGCATATCCTCGTCATGTTAACTTGCTCATGAGGTCCGTAACAAGCTGCACCAAAATCCCGGCATATTCTGACTCATCGTGAACATCTGGAGCATTCGCGTCCTTGAGCCACTCCAGTTTGAGTTTATTTAAACTGTCCTGCACGTGAGGTTTTTTAAATTCAGTCTTACAGCCAGCTACCATCACGTGCAATGCTTCTAATACTTTCTCTCTCGTGTCATTCTCAGTGGTGTGCAGGAGAGCGGGTATGAGTTGGCACCAGCCCTTTTCGACCATGGTTTTCAACAGAGGGACCCTGTAAACAGAAATACAGTTGTTGGTTAAGGTGTAAGGTGTTTATACAGGGTGGAAGAGATTTTTTCCTTGGTTGCAGGGGAAGAAAGAAAAGCGTCTAGCAACCTGCATGGATTTTGCTTATTTCATGAGAACTGAAAATTTCGATACTTTCAACATGCACAGAGGCTGTGCACATCTGTCCTACTTCTAATCTATAGAATGGTGGCTACGAGCCAAATTTGTAAGAAGTATTACAATTGGCCGTCCAAGCGATTCCTACCTACCCTTTACTACCAATATTTGAGTTGATATATTGCTACAAGGTAGTATTTTTTTTTCAAATTAACTACGTATCAAAAGTGAAACCACGCAAATTTAACCATGAGGCCTCACAGCACCGTTGCCACGCACTCACGTAGCTGCTAAGCCACGTTGAGCACGTAGCCACGTTCCACTGAAGTCCAACAAAGCCGTGCGCGTTGCGGGGTTGTCTCTATGTTAACCGCATAGCCGCGCATCTTTGCCATGAAGTCATAGCCGCCTAGCTAGCCCCGTACGTAAACCGCATGGCCGCGTGGCCGCGCCGCATTGCTACGTACGTTATTACATGGTCACGTGACCGCGCCCTATTACCACGTACGTTTGGCCGCAACATGGCCGCGCCGTAACATGTCCACATAGCCACGTCGTTGCGCACTCTCTTAGCCGCGTAGCCACGTAGCCGTAAGCTATTGGTTTACTATTTATACGTCTTTGACATTTTTCTTCCCTTGTAAACTATATTTCGAGGTTCTCTTCGGGTTAAATTTGAGGACAATTTTAAACATTGCAGCTTTGCGTGACTCAATTTGGAGCACCGCAAGGGCACTACGAGGCATAACAATTGAATAGTTATTCCCCTTCAGCAAGTTCTTCGCCTTAGAGTAGAATTTACTGTACCTTCCAGAGATATCTCCAGACACATCCTCTCCCTGTTTTTTCAGCAGGGTTGTAACATGTTCAATTTGTTCTGTCAGCAAATCTGTCATAAGTGTGATTACTTTGACAACTAGTGGGCCACTCCCACCTTCTTCAAAGAGCTTCACAAACATTTCAAGCCCATTAAGTTTGAGAAATTCTCGCTGTCCATTCAGAAAGAGCCTGATAAGGGAAGACAGTCCATACATTGCTTTCTTCCTGACTGCCATGGACTCATGTTGCGACAGCAGCCGAAGAAGTAATGGTAATGCTCCTTGCTTTAGGGCTGCCTGTTGGACTTCTGGATTGCTATTTTAGGCAAGAGCAAGAGAAAGAAAATTGATAATAAATAAACAAAACCAAAAAAACTTTACGTGCTTGACACAGAAATGACAATCTACTAAAAATTAATAAGAAGTAGCACTACAAAAGAAATGGCTACATTTTACACTTTTTTTGTACTAATACAACACTGAGAGGGTAAGTCTTTCTTCAAACCCAACATCATGGCATGCAATTGACTGAGGCAACTAGGACCAATTCTACTCTCCCCAAATGGGATGCTACTGTGGTAACCACAGGGTTAGTATTCTGTCCAGCATCTGGGTGGACAGAGGTTCTGTGAGAGTAAAGCGTCTTGTCAAAAAACCTAATGCAATAACCCTGGCCAGGGCTTGAACCCAGATTGCACATTCTACAGTCCTGCACAATAACTATTAAGTCACCATGTACTGAAACTCAACGTACCAATGACAAACAAACATATATCAGGATGAACTATTGGCATCTTCTTAGGAACTGCAACCTTGATTAACACTTGATAACAACAAATTAAAGGTGAATCTCCATTAATGGCCACCTCCCTACAATGGCCGCCTCTCTGTAATGACCCATTTTATCTGTCCCCAAGGTGGCCCTTGTAGATAGGTTCAACTGTATTAAAATCACCTCTGTACTGCTGATCCCAGCACATAACATGCCCTTATTCTGAGGCCTTCCTCTGAGGAGTTCATAAGCTTTATCACCAGTGACAATCCACCAATGGTGTCCAAATCTCGTGCATTATCTATCTGATGCACATAGTACTCGAGCTCATCTAAAGCATGCTCCTTCTCGGTTAGAGTGGAACCTGAGCTATTTAGGGTATCCACATGTTTCATGAGTATTTCAATATCCTTTTTGAGGAAAAGATCTACTCCTTCTAACTCCTTTCGGATTTCGTCTATAGATCTATACTTTTTACCTGGAAAAATGGAGAGATATTAGATGTGGCTGGTACCATTTGTTACCACAAGTTATTTGTTAATTGTATCAGTCAATAACAACATTCATAATTTTAATAAGCACTCAAATTGGATCTTCCTTGCTGTTTTCCTGCTGTTATAAAATTGATGACATATACCACTCACTAAACAAAGGTTCTCACAGTCTTACCTGGACCTTGATATTAATTTTTGTTGTCAATAAGATTTATTAACAACTGCACTTTGTGTTGTGCAATTTAGAGGGAAATCTTTTTTTGTAATTTCAAATCCATCATATACTGACTACACACTTTGACAATTTTGAAATCACTCATCCATTCGCAACTGTACAGTGCCATACTCTGTGAACGATAACGCAACCCGAGAATAACCAACATTTTAGGAGTTACGTCACGATTTTTAGAGTCATTTTTTAGGGTCGTAAAGAGTTGCCTCTAAATAAAATAAAACGTTAAAATGATAGTGTTCTAGGATAGAAAACACTTAAGAGGCAAGAACAAGTCAAAACGAAATGAGGATCGTTAAGGATGGCAAAGATTAACGAGGACTGCAAATGACAAACTTGAAAAACTAGACTAGTTTTTTCAAGCTGCCCAAATCGTGACGTAGCTCCTTTAAAGCAAGTCATGTCCTTAAGCTTTCGAACGTAAGTTTTCTCATTAACTGTAACGCCAACTGTAACGCTCACATCTGACACGAAAATGTAGCCGAGAATTAGCGACTGATGCTAACAACAATTTCAAAAACGAGAATGGGAGTTCACGCAAGCTTCGANGCTTATGTGGCTTTTTAAATGACCTCTTGTCATTCTCTCAAATTAACATGTCATTGCGTCAAATTCGGGGTTCTTATTTTCATTTAACATATTTTAGTTTTCCACTTTTATTTTTTTTATTATTATTATCTTATAAACGATTTAATTTTTTTTTGGATTTTTTTTAATTTAAACTTTGTTTTTTCTTTCTGCGATCCGGTCCGCGATCCGATCCGTGATCCGATCCGTGATCCGGTCCGGTCCGGTCCGGTCCGATCCTGGTTTTGTCGACACCGCCGTCATCAGTGCGTCTATATAATAAAAAGAACATTACACATTAGTTTGAAGATATGAATTTTGTGTTCTCGTGGCAAGAACAATATCTCACTCGTTCGCTACCCTCGCACGTGAGATATTGTTCTTGCCACTAAAACATAAAATTCATATCTTCTCGCCACCGTGTAATATCCTCTATATATCACTGAGAAAATTACTTCGTTGTGATTGGCTGAGAGCAGGCCAATTTATCGCTAATTTTTAATGTGCACTGCAATGCAAATGAACGCACATGCTTTCATAATTTCCCCAATCAGGTAATACCCATACAATAAATGCGTAATTGAATAAGGCTCGAGCAATACACCTTATGCCAAAATGGCCGCCATTTTGGTATTCTTTTGTTTACTTGAAAATGAGCCCTTGTTGCCTCTTTTAAGGGAAAATATTCTTTTGAATTTCAAGTTTAAGAACGAGGCAACAAGGGCTATTTTCCAAGTAAACAAAAGAATACTTAAATGGCGGCCATTTTGGAATAATATTTACACTACTCGTGATATTTGAAAATTCTTTCAAATTGCACGCGCCTAAAAGCTTGTGCAATTTTAAGAGAATTTTCAAATATCACTCTTACTGTAAATCCTTAATTGCACTCGCATTGATATTAAAACTATAAAGCCACTTGCTGTCAGTTTTGATTTAATCATTGCTATTCGTCTGAAATGATTTCTGTGACAATGAGGAAATGGAATGCACAGAACGTGTACATGTGGCTACTTGTCAATAGACCAATTTCGATAAATTAAAATTCAGCCTAAAACAATGGACCTCAGTACGAGGCTCTGGGAATAAATACAGAGTTTGCGGGGTTTATTCCCCAGAGCCTCGTTCTGAGGTCTATTGTGGTATGCTGAATTTTAATATATCGAAATTGGTCTATTAACTCGTGAGTTGCGTAAGCAAGTTACGGATTCAGATTACGCAAATTAGGGGTTGGTCGTCTGTCGATCATGTGTTTTGCGAGCGCACGTATCGATTGACATCTCTAGGACAACGTGTTACGTAACTGCGATTCTCTGAAAATGGAACTCTGCTGTAGTCCGAGTAACTCACAAATTAAATGGTTGTTAAAACTTCTGGTTAATTTTGCCAAAGGGTCTTGATAGCACAAGTGTTGTAAATATTTTTAAAAATACAACAACGCTTTTCAGTTTTCGGAACATGTTTCGATGTTTCAAACATCATCATCAGCCATAATGAATATGTAAGGTTTACAGAAAGATCGTTATTATTTATGTAACAGCCTATACAATGAACCTTTATCAATTTAAATTAACGTAAAATGCAAACTTATTTAAACTAACCAATAAAAATTTTGAAAAGAACAATAGTGAAAAACCACTAAGCTGAAATAGATACATTTCATAATATTTCATCTATTATTAATAAGTATTGCAAAGATTTAAATGTAAAAGTTATATTCTCTCCTTTCAAACTTAGCAGTATGTTTAGTCCTAAAGATTTTATTCCCGAGTCTCTTAAATCACGTGTGGTGTACCAGTTTACGTGTGCGAGCTGTGGAGCTCGTTATATTGGTGAAACTAATAGGCATTTTCACACACGTGTTAATGAACATCTTTTTTGGGACAAAAATTCCCTTGTTTTTAAACATCTCCATTGTTCTGAGCAATGTCGAGACAATTGTGATGCCTCCAGTTATAAAATTATTGATTTTGCTAAGACTTTCTCACAACTTAAAATCAAGGAGAGTTTTCATATTGAACGGTTAAATCCAGAACTCAACAAACAAGTTGAGCATGTCAATTTATCGTTACACTTTTAAATGTATCTATTTCAGCTTAGTGGTTTTTCAGGATTGTTCTTTTCAAATTTTTTATGGGTTAGTTTAAATAAGTTTGCATTTTACGTTAATTTAAATTTATAAAGGGTCATTGTATAGGCTGTTACATATATAACAACGATCTTTCTGTAAACCTTATATATTCATTATGGCTGATGATAATGTTTAAAACATCGAAACATGTTCTGGTTAATTTGCTTTTCAGGGAAAGTGTTAATGGCAGCTTGTAACTGTTCGTTCAATTACCTCAGATTAATTGCGTGGTAAAATTTCCGATTTATTTCTTTATCAGGGAAAGTGTTAATTTCAATCGTTTGGGCGTGCGTCACGAAACGGTGACGTAGATGCTGCGCAGGAGATTAGAAAAGGGTCACGAAAAGGTTGGCTTATATCTATCGACAATCTTACAGCGTTGGTGAACAGTTTTTAAACAACCTTTCTGCTGAGAGCGTGAATTCCGGAGAAAAGATCTTTGTGAAAAGTTACTGTCAGAATTATGTTCAATTAAAGAAGCCGTGATTATTGCTTATTGTAATTTTTCTTCTTTAAAAACATCAGTGTTTTTCAATAAAAGAGAATTTCCATATTACGTCAGAGGTTAGCTAAGTACCCAGTTTGTGGGAAGCTTGTGAAAGTCGATAACGAAGAGTAGGATACTTTGTGAAATTTAAAATATTTTGTATGGTATCGTGCTGTGACAGTCGCGATTTACGCGGCAATTGCTTCACTCCCGTTAGGTAGGGACTGGGTTAGAGTGCATGCCCGGGAGTGCAGGACTGCAGCTCTCGAGCTGATATGGTGTTTCCCTGTTTGTTATCTTAGAATATTGACTGATTTTCCCTTTCTCTTTTTTCAGTGATTTCTTAAAGTAATATAAAGCATTTCCTTAATGTTTCTATTAAATAATACAAACACTCCAAAGGGTGAACTCGAAATAGCTCTGGAAACACTCGCCTATGGCTGGTTATCTATAAATACATAGAAGCAAAAACGTTTTCTGTATCTCAGTGTTGGTCATCGCTGGGTTATTCCTTTGTCTCATGGTGCAACGTACGCCTCGGCCAAGGTTTCGTGCAGCACAAAATCTATACACTGCTTCAGCAAAACTGGAAATTCTCTTTTGTCCAAAGCATATACGACATGGGATTATTTTCTGGAACTAGAAACGTTGATAATTAACAGAGGCGGAAGTCGCCCAGTTCTTACTATAGCTAATGTTTGATATTTTCTCAACCTCGTTCACAGGGTTCTCTCTCTTCCTCCTTCGAGAAAGTTTCTCGAGGGAGGAAGAGAGAGGACCCTGGGAACGAGGTTGATATTCTTGGTGTAGACTTCCATTGAGGCTGATCACCTGATCGAGAAACGGGCAAATTTTGGCACGCAATGCTGGCTTGTGAACTTCTTGGGCTTTGGCATCATCATTGGTGCAATGTTTTCAGGCGTTTTGTCTGAGGAACATGTTTCAGTTGGTCAAGGAGGAATGCACGACAAGGTAAGCCGCTCTCATTTTATGTTTCTTTTTTGGTGCACCTTTCCTAGTGTTTTACCGGAGTTAAAATTAAACAATTGCAGTTCGAGATGTTTTGCAGGTTGTTGCAAACACGCAACGGTTTGCATGGCTTAAAACGCTGCTTTTAAATGGTAATAGCCGTTCTTTAAAAACTAGCAGGAATAGAAAGCCTTCATTTGCTCCCAAGCCCCATAGCAAATTTTACTGACCGGGTACCGATTTATCTTGGGACTGAGTTTAGTCTAGACTCTACTCCCTGGCCTTGTGGGATAGGAAGAAAACCCCCGCCGACATTCAGCCGGGAAGGGCACTTTAAGGCAACAGCCCCAGTCACCGAATCAACCTTTTACCTGGTTTTAAGTTTCCCATTCGTATATAAGCTGAGCGAAGTCAGGTTAACGCCGCAGCTGTTACAGCGTCTTTTCGTTTCACGCCGAGTGGTTGTGTAATCATCATTATTGTTATTAATTATGCGTAAGGATACGTAAAGAAAGCTTAGACGAATCAGTCTAATCAGAAGCATGTCACCTCGTCAAGGTCACAACCCAATGTCTCCAGTCAGGGCTCGACCGGGACC